TACTTGTGTAATTCCTTTATATCTTCTTAGTGGATTGTTTTGTGGCTTTTGCCCGTGGTTTTTTATCACAATTGGAGGTGCTCCAATTGTGGTTTTTTCACGTTAAAATTGTTGTTTCAATTTGCCTTGATTGTTTGATTGGGATTGTTTTATTGCTTTAAATTGATACATAATCACAAATCAATAGCTAGCGGATTTCTAGATTTTTCAATTGGTATCAAAGCGGGTTGCTCTTTTGTTTTTTAAAACTTTTGAGCGAGATCTTGTTTGATTTGTGATAATGGATTCAATTTGTGAGGAAAATTATATGGTTCGACTACCCCTACTTGACGGATCCAATTATTCGTTTTGGAAAGATCGGATGAGATCATTTTTAAAATCTATTAATGAAAAAGTTTGGCAATCTGTCGTGTATGGGTGGACTGAACCGATGATTACCATTGATGGAGTAACTTTCCTCAAACCAATTGATAAGTGGGACACAATTGATTACCAAAATAGTAGCTGGAATAGTAAAGCTATCAATTCTCTCTTTTGTGCTGTCGCACCTGAAGAGTTTAGTTGTATTTGCAATTGTAAAGTCGCAAAAGAGGCTTGGGATATCTTACAAACTATGCATGAGGGCACTCCTTCTGTTAAACTCTCAAAACTTCAAAGGCTCACTTCTAGTTTCGAAAACCTTTCAATGAAAGATAGTGAGACCTTTGATGAATTTTATGCAAAGTTGAGTGACATTGTAAATTCCAGCTTCAATTTAGGTGAAAAAAATACCGAAATCCAAGATTATAGGAAAAATTTTGAGGTCCTTGCTCGATCGGTTTCAACCAAAAGTTATGTCTATTGAGGAGGCTCAAGATGTTGACAACCTCAAGCTAGATCATTTGGTTAGAAATCTCCAAACTTATGAGGCACATAGGAATTTCAAAAAGAAACAAAAAGATGTTACTTTTAGTGAGCTGGAGAGGATTCTGATGAGGATTGTGAGATAGATTCCAAGATTATGGATGCTTTTGTAAAACAATTTAAAAAATCTTTTCTGAAAAAGAATCCTAATCTTTTGGAATCTACTCATACTCATAAATTCAAAGGCAAAGATAAACTCAAAATTAATTCTATAGCCAAGAAGGAGAAAGGAAAGATATAAGGGAACTCTGAAAGAGTCCAATGTTATGAATGCCAAGGATTTGGTCACTTTGCTCAAGAATGCCCTACTCGTTTGAGGAAGAAGAAAGCCCTCGCTATCACTTGGGATGATGAATCAGAATCTGATAAAGATGAAAGTGACAATGAAGATCAAGGTGAAGAGGGACATAAACAATTCCTTGCTTTCATGGCGGCTTCTGAAACTGAAGGACGAACAGAGTATCAGAAGAGGCCAGTTGAGAATGCCACTGATGATGAATCCTCGGGAAGTGATGATGAAGAGCTTGAGCAAGATTATGAAAAGTTGTATAGGAAATCTCTTAACTTATCCAAATTTAATGACAAACTCACTATGAAACTCAAAGTATGTGAAAGTGAGAATGTCAAACTAAAGGAGGAGATTTTCGAGGCTAGGATTGATGCCATCAAGATAGCAAATGATCGACAAGCTCTTTGTGCTAAACTCTTGACTTGTGAGACATAGAGGAATGAGCTACAACACATCTATGCAATGTATGAAGAAAAGATTGAATCTCTCGAGATGTCTCAAGTTGCCTTGGAAAAACTAATGATCAAGAAAGGGGAAGAGCTCAAGTGTGCTATGGCTACCATTGGTCTTTGGAACAAAGGATCAAAGACTTTGGAGGGTATCATTGGGTCTCAACAAATGTGTTGTGACGAGTGGCATTGGCTTTGGTGATAACAAAGAGCAAAAACAGAGTGCATCTACAACTCATGATACAAGAACTCAAGGAAAGGGAGAACAAAAAATTCAACATAAAGATGGACTTCTCAAACTTCCTAGAGTTGGTAAGGTAAAAGAAAAGAAGGTACACCCTGTACACCCTATTTTTATTTGTCATCATTGTGGTATGCATGGTCATATTCACCCTTATTGTTATAAGTTGCATGGGAGAGTGTCACATAGAGATGGAAGAAATTCCAACATCTTGTGGGTTAGGAGACACTTCATTGGTTGTAATGAGGTTAAAGGTCATATTAGACCTCGTTATTTTGATCAACTCGAGACCAAACATGGAGCGAGTTTGTAGTTGCCTAGACCTAGAAATAGGAAGCTCGAAACCAAGTCGAGACGGGTTTCCATTGAAAGCAAAGGGAACCACAACGTCAAGACACTATCCAAGAACCGCAATTCTCACAACTTTCTTCATACTAAAGCGGTTTGGGTGCGAAAACTTGACTTGTGTTAATTTGTATATTCTTTTTAGTTTTTAGGTTTCTGTGTGTTTTTTTTTTCTTTTTGAGTCACTTAATGTGTGCATGTTCGTTTTTTGTCTTGCTTTGTTTAGAAAAAGAAAAAAAAATATTAAAGAAAAAAAAATAAAAAAAAAACCAAAAAGATTTTCTTAGTATGGTTTTGCAAGCTTAAAATTTTTGTGTGGTCCTTGGTACATATTGGAATTGATAAGAATATCCATTACATGTTAATATGTGTGTGCTTTCTGTGGTCATTACTCATTTTGGAGTGTGTGTTTTTTGATTAGTATGTCTCATTCTGTACACACTCTTGGATTTGCAAATATCATAGTCTTCCGCCTTAGTGATTATTTTTTTTCTATGGACTTCTGGCATTGTATCTTTTGCTTTTCTACAGGAATTGACCTATACTAGCATATCATGGGTGATGTTGAGTCTCTTAAACCACCTTTCATCTTTTTGCATCTCCACGGATTTCCCTTCTGTTCTTTGTAATCTAGGCATGAGGAAAAGGCTACCTCAGAGTCACCAACTGGGCTATCCTTATTATATCCATGCTTCTCTGGTTCGGTTTCCATACTTTTGAGCGTGTCAGCTGCCAATGAGTGTGCAAAAGAAAGAAAAAATGTGCAAAAGAAAGAAAAAAAATAAGGATGTGCAAAAGAAAGAAAAGAAAAAGATGTGAAAAAAAAGGAAAAAAAAAGGATTCATTGATTGAGGGGGAGCCTCCGCCTTTACTCACCAAATACCCCTTGATTCCTAGTGGTTTGACTTTCCGCAGTTGTGCTTAGATTCTCTTGATGGAGGTTCAGGTATCTGATTACTACTAGGATTTGAATCTAGTGTTTGTCGAACTCCAAGAGTCACTCACACACTTTTATCATGGGATCTATGCTTTTCACATAATGCATCACTTTCTTTTGTGAGGAATCCTCTAAAGGCTGTGCACATTGTGTTTTCAAGTAATTATGCTTCTTGGATAATCTTGTGTATTTTAAGGTACAACTCTGAAATTCCTTACTTGCTCCACCATATTATTTTTGTCGTTTTCTTCTTGTTCACTGTTTTCAGTGTTTGTGGTTGCTTTTAGTAATGGGGAGTTTGGTTAATTGTTATCATGTCATTGCTTGTGTGTTTTATGCTTTTACTTTAGTTGTTTGAGCTTCCTTCGTCAATTCATGACAAAAAGGGGGAAAAATGTTGTCAGGTGCATGTGTCTTAGTTTTCATGTTTTCATGCTACATGTTCTTAATATCTCCAAGTCGCATCTATTCATGTTTTCCATCTCATGCTTCAAGATAATCAAGTCGCATCGATTCATGTTTTCGATCTCATGCTTCAAGATAATCTTGTCATATGTTTATTGCTTTTTCATATACTTTTGTGGCACTAATAGTTGTTTTGGAGATTGTGGCACTAATAGTTGTTTTGCAGCTCATGACCTTGAGAAAGAAGTTTGCGTTTGTTGGCTGTAATGGGTTGGGGTGATTAGGATTTTATTTGTTAGGTGTGTTTTGTCACGGTATTTCCAAAGGGAGAGATTGTTAGGTTTTTATTATTGGCAATCCCGTTTGACAAAACTCCTTTCAGTTGTACTTGTTTTCGCACTTTTATTTCAGTGAGGCTATGAGTTTGTTAGATGCGAATCTAACCCGAATTGTGTCGTGCAAAGAAGTTTGTGATGTTAATTCTTTTAAGATTGCCACTTCGCTGACTATGACGGGGATCAAGTTGCCCGGTCAGCTCGCGGGGGTCGAGGGGACAGCGCCCCTTGGCGGGTCTGGGGCAGTGCCCAGGCGGGGTCGAGGGGCAGCGCACCGGAAACAAACTGCAAAATTGCTTTCGAAGTTGCCTGTCTGCCCTTGCTCGCTCGAGCAAAGGAGTTCTCGCTCGAGCGAAGACTGCGTCTGGCAAAAACTTGAGAGAGGTGAATGTGCGCTCAAGCGCAGGTTGCGTGGCTCGAGCGAAGCCACTTATGGAAAACACGCATTTTTGGTTCTTCGTTCGAGCGAGAGAGTCTTTGCTCAAGCGAGCTTCGCAATCCCAGATTTCTATAAGTACGTGTTTCTGTCAGATTTTAGGATTATTGCTCCAGATCTTCTTTTTGGATATTAAGGTTTATATCTGGGGATATTTTACTAGTTTTCTTTGATGTTTAATTGAGTATTTAACTCATGGGTTAAGAAGAATACATCAAAGGTTCGTTTGTTTATTCTAAAAAAAGAGAGAGTTGTTCTTTGGTGGATTCTGAAGAATCCAAGCTTGAAGCTTTGGTGGATTCTGGAGTGGCTCATTGTCAAGACAATTCCGAGGTGAAGACGGGGCTGGAAGAGGCACATAGGGGTTGGTTCAATTAGGGCATAGATTCGCTAGGTAATTGAGAGTATACCTGTGTAATTCCTTTATATCTTCTTAGTGGATTATTTTGTGGTTGTTGCCCATGGTTTTTAATCACAATTGGAGGTGCTCCAATTGTGGTTTTTCCACGTTAAAATCGTTGTGTCGATTGTCTTGATTGTTTGATTGGGATTGTTTTATTGCTTTAAATTGATACATAATCACAAATCAATATCTAGTGGATTTCTAGATTTTTCATATATCTCTATGATAATGATCTTTCTGGTCCCATCCCTCCTGCAATGGGAAACCTTGTCAATCTTGTTGAGCTTTACATGGATAACAACAATTTCATAGGTCCCATCCCTTCTACTCTTGGAAACTTGACTAAGCTAATTGTGTTACACTTGTTCAACAATCACCTATCCGGCTTCATTCCACAAGAGATAGGAAAGTTGAAATCACTCCAAGACCTAAGCTTTGGAAACGACAGTCTTATTGGCTCAATTCTAACATCTTTTGGTGATTTGAGCTCCGTAACACTCCTACATCTTTGGAATAATCAACTCTCTGGTTCAATTCCTAAAGAACTAGGGAATTTGAAGTTCCTCAATGATCTGGAATTGAGCGAAAATCAACTCAGTGGTCCTATTCCTGCTTCATTAGGCAATTTGTCTAAGTTAGAAATTCTTTTCCTTCGTCCCAACCAACTTTCCGATCCCATTCCACATGAATTTGGAAATTTGACAAACTTGCTTGTACTAGAAATGGGTGAAAACTAGTTTGCTGGAAATCTCCCAAAGCTTTGCCAACACGGTAAACTTGTAAACTTCACTGTGAACCACAACCACCTCACAAGTACAATTCCCCAAAGTTTGAAAAACTGTTCAAGCTTAGTTAGAGCTCGCTTTGGTGAAAACCAATTCATTGGAAATATATTCGAAGATTAGGGCACTAATCCAAATTTGGTCTACCTAGATCTGAGTAACAAAAATTTTTATGGAAAATTCTCAGAAAATTGGGGAATATTCCCAGATTTGACACTCTTTAAAATAGTAAGAAATAACATTCCACCAGGGTTTGAAAAGTCAACATGGCTAGAATGACTTGATTTATCTTCTAATCATTTAGTTAGGGAGATCCCAAAGGAATATGGAAAGTTGACTTCTTTGGAGTGGATGATTTTGGCTAATAATCAGCTTTCAGGTTGGATACCTCAAGAACTTAGATCACTAACTAAGTTGTCAAAACTTGATTTATCCACAAACAAATTTAGTGGGCCACTACCAGGTATTTTGGAGAACTATCGAAATCTGTTTTACTTGAACCTGAGCAACAACATGTTCAACCAGCAAATTCCATTACAGATTGGTAAGTTATTTCAACTAACCGAGATGGATCTGAGTAGTAACATTCTCATAGGGGAAATACCATTGGAAATCACAAATTTGAAAAGCTTGGAAAAGTTGAACCTCTCCCACAATAAACTCTCTGGTCTCATTCCAAAGAGTTTTGAAGGTATGTATGGCTTGGCTTATGTTGATATATCGTATAGAGTTTTCAAAGGCCTGCAGCCTTGCAAAGTTCTTTCTACATTGCACAAACACACTCTAGAAAGAAGGACACTTGTTCTTGTAATCATGCTCTCTCTTGGTGGAGCACTCTTACTTCTAGGTGCATTCATTAGACTTCTCTTTATGTTCAATTCAAGAAAGACAAAGTCACAAGTTGAAGAGGGTGACACCCAACCCCCGAAAGAAGATTTGTTATCGATATCAATATTCAATGGAAGAGCAATGTACAATGACATTGTACAAGCTACCAATGATTTCGATGCCGCATATTGCATTGGAAAAGGAGGATATGGAACTGTCTACAAAGCGAAGTTACCATCAACGAATATAGTAGCTGTGAAGAAACTTCATCCGTTATCCGAGAGGGCTGATAGGAAAGATTTCTTAAATGAGGTAAGGACATTGACAGAAATTAAGCATTGAAACATAGTGAAGCTTTTTGGGTATTGTTCACATGCTCCGGCATTCTTTTCTAGTTTATGAGTACCTCAAAAGAGGTAGTTTGGCTACAATTTTTAACAAAGACGAAGAAACTAAAGAATTGGATTGGCCTAAGAGGGTGAATATTATTAAGGGTGTGGCAAGCGCTTTGTCATACATGCACCATGATTGCACACTGCCCATTGTTCACCGAGACATTTCTAGCAACAATGTTCTGATTGATGAGGAGTACAAGGCTCGTGTTTCAGACTTTGGCATTGCCAAGCTTTTGAAGCTAGATTCCTCTAACTGGAGTGCATTTGCAGGCACATACAGATATGTTGCACCAGGTAAACAAAGTTTTATGCTCTCCTAAATTGACATAGAATCTGAAGCATAACAAAACAAGTGCATTACCATGTCTCTCTTTTTTTGTAGAGCTTGCTTGCACGATGAAGGTAACTGAAAAGTGTGATGTTTATAGCTTTGGTGTGTTGGCACTGAAAGTGATCGAAGGAAAGCATCCGGGAGACTTCATCATGTCCCTGTTGACCCCAGCTGTTGAGAGCATACAACTAAAGGATGTGTTGGACCAACGCCTTTCACTTCCCTCCCCTGAAGTTGATGAGGTAGTGAAATGTAAAATTGGCAATCGCATGTTTGCATGTCAATCCACAATCTAGGCCAACCATGCACATTGTTTCTCAATTGTTATCCACTTGAAAAATTCCGTAGAGCATCACCTATGTGCATAGAATTGCTGCCCATGAAAATGCATAGAATTGATCCCTTTCTATTCTGCATATTTTTTCGTGCACTAATTTTGTGCACTTAGCAAAACTCGAGCCTTGAAGACAGTGCAAAGGTATTTTGTTTAGTAAGGATATGCTAGATATTAGATAAAACCCAATCTTCTCTATTACCTACTGAAATATACTTTTCATATAGGGATTTTTATTGCAAGAATAAATACTGAAGAGTGAAAATCAATTAAAAGAGAGATGTACCCTCGGGGCTTTTGTGTGCCATGTGTGTATGGTAGTAACCGAACCACACACGTATGGTGTGGCTTCTCTCTTCAATGTCATCTTATTTATTTATTTATTTTGTGTTGCCTTTATTTTTCTTTTTCTTGAATATATACCTACCTTGTAGCACCAAAAATTGCGGGCTTCTTTTATATTGATTTGAAAGAGCAACGTTGCTGGTATAAATTACCAAAATGGTTCAAATTTGATGTTGGTGGTGATGAGTTTGTGGCTGTGATTCGGGGTTTGATGGTGATTTGAGATTTGGTGAATAGGGAGTGAGGTGGTGGTTGGCGGGGAAGGGGGCGGTGGTTTATGATGGAAGCTGTAAAAGAGAGGGGAGAGAGAGATTAACATAGGAAGAGTGCATGACAAGCTTGATTCACTTTTTCTATTACAAATAACATCATAAATTTCATCAAATGATGTACTACAAATTTGTCATTATAAATTTAAATCTCTGTTTTTATTTGTTTTTGTTTTGTTTTGGATTGTGAATCTAAATCTCAGTTTAGTAAATCAATTTTAACAAATTGCATTTAATATAAAGCTTGAAGATTGTAATGAGATTAGTAGAAACAGCTATAGTAATACACAAGTATTCTTATATCATCTTTTAAAAGGAAATTGGATATTCTTCCATTTCCATTTATAAGGGATTTGAAAATTTTGGATACCATTTATTCAACAAGTATAAATTATGGAAAACACTATGGTACACACCTAAGTATGTATCATATGCATCTTATAACTTAAGAAGAAAATAGTATAACTTTTTACTTTTTGAGTCATAACTAAAAAAATAAAAGAAAAATGTTATAACTAAACACAACATTAGGCATAATTAAAAAATTCATGAGTCATAACTAAAATAATGTCATAACTAAAGACAAAAATTAGTTATAACTAAAGAAAAAAATGTCATATCTCGGGGGGCTCTTCAAAAATAGTTCCATGTAGAATTTTATATGGCATTTAGGTCAAAGAAGTTGGCAAACATTTGGGAGATATGGAAATTGATTATTCTCATTTATGTAGCTATATCTGATTTAGTATACGTGTTTTTATTTTGTTGGAATATTTGTCTTTTGAGCAACTATGACACCCATATGTCCGCTTATTTATGGTAATTTACCACCACCACCACCACCTCCACTATTTTACATCCACATTATTGAGGGTGTAGCTATGGCAACTGATTGTGATTTGCATACTATTTTACATCTATATTATTTGACGACTTGGAAAGTCATCATGTTTTGCATGGAGTCATGCTCTTCCAACCTTTTCCAATACAGAGCTGCCCCTCTTCAAACTTGTCTTGAAGTTGTCACAGGGTGGGGTGGCGGAAGATTACAGAAGAGTTGGGTAAGGACAGATACCCCAACAGGTTGTGGAAGTGTATGACGATACATCTTATACATAACTGATGTTAGCAGTTAAAATGCGATTAATTTACATCTACACTATTGAGGAAAAATAAATTTCATTCCACATGGCAAACAACCTTGGACATGGATTGGACAACACAACAATAGTTGTATACTTAAATCCTTAATAGCAGGAAACTCCTAGCTCCTGTTTCTGCCCTTGCTCCCACTCCTGCTCTCAATCTGAAACTTTTTATTCATGTAATATATATATATATATTTATGCCCAAACTCCCATAATCAGGTGTTGTTTTTAGGGATAACCATTGGTTCAGTGGTTATAGTCTTGGCCAAATAATCTTGAGGTTATGGGTTCTACTCTGAGGACAAATTGTACATTTATGCCAAAGGTTTCTTATGTACCCAATTTAATCCCTCCAAACACCCATTAATGGGCATTAATTGGTCATTTTTTAAAATCTATATTTATGTTACTATGATGAGATTCCACTTCAGAATGCTATTGAACTTTTATTTTTTTTATTCTTCATCTTTTTAAAGCTTGTAAAATACTTGGATTGAGGTGGCCTTCAGCACGAGAAAGACTTGTTGTTCGAAATAGAATGTTGCATAAATATTGGGATTTGAAAGGGAGATAGGTTAACACAACCGGGGGTGCGTTCACAACCCTGCTCTGTACCAGGTTTGTGTTACTCTCTCAAACCATTTATCATCCAATTTGGTTGTCTTCAAGGGGAGAGGGACAGTACCTGGTAGACTAGGTTGAATCCCATCAGTAAATGGGGACACTTATCTCTATAGCTGTTTTCTGGATCTTAGTTGATGATCAATTATTAATTAAGATTGTATTTTGTCTATTCTTATATAAGCTTTATTACATTTCTGGAAATTTTAATTGATATCATAAGTGTAAGGGAATCCCTTATGTGTTGTCTTCTACATCTTAATAAATCAGGAATTATTATTGAAAAAACTAGAAATCCCCTAGATGTTGATTTGTGATTATGTATCAATTTTAAGCAGTATATAACAATTCCAATCAATCAATCAAGACAAATCGACACAACTATTTTACGTGGAAAAACCACAATTGAACACCTCTAATTGTGATAAAAAAACTACGGGCAAAAGCCACAAAACAATCCACTAAAAAGACATAAAGGAATTACACAAGTATACTCTCAATTACCTAGCGAAACCACGCCCGAATTGAACCAACCCCTATGTGCCTCTTCCAACCCCATCTTCACCTCGGAATTGTCTTGACAATGAGCCACTCCAGAATCCACCAAAGCTTCAGGCTCGAATTCTTTAGAATCCACCGAAGAACAACTCTCTCTTTTGTGTAGAACAAACAAATAATCCTTTGATGTATACTCTTTAAACCATGAGTTGAATACTCAATCAAAACATCAAAGAAAACTAGCAAAATATCCCCAAATATAAATCCTAGAACCCAAGAAGAAGATCTGGAGAAGTAATCCTAGATTTGGAGCAACTTGCGAATTTTTAGAATCTGAAATCGCGAGGTCCGCTCGAGCGTGGGAATTGACGCTGTGTTCTAAACCAAGATGTACGCTCGAGCGGGGATTTCGACGCTCGAGCGTGAAAACACGGATCACAGTATTTTGCAGACACGCATACTTCTGGAAATCACCATTCTCCGCTCGAGCGAGGGAATGGACGCTCGAGCAGGGAGGCAACTTTGAATGCATTTTTGCATTTTGCTTTGGGGGCGCTGCCCCTCGACCCCGTCGTGGCACTGCCCCGGACCCGTCATAATTAGCGAAATGGCAATCTTGAAAGAATTAACATCACAAAACTTCTCTGCAAGGCACAATTCGGGTTGGATTCCCGTCTAAAACTCATATCCTCACTGAAATACAAGAGCGAATAAAGTTACAACTGAAAGGAGTTTTGTCAAACGGGATTGCCAAGAATAAAAACCTAACAATCTCCCCCTTTGGCAATGCCGTGACAAAACACACCTAACAAATAAAATCCAAAACACCCCAACCCATAACAACCAGCAAAAGCCAACTTCTTTCTCAAGGTCATGATCTGCAAAACAGTTATTAGTGCCACAATCTCCAAAACAACTATTAGTCCCACAAAAGTATATGAAAAAGCAATAAACATATGGCTAGATTATCTTGAAGCATGAGATGGAAAACATGAACAGATGCGACTTGGAGATATTAAGAACATGTAAACATGAAAACTAAGACACATGCACCTAACAACATTTCTCCCCCTTTTTGTCATGAATTGACAAAGAAAGCTCAATCAACTAAAGCAAGATCAGAAACCACACAAGTAATGATAAGATTATGTAAATATCAGGAGCATGCAAGAAGGAAATAATAAAGACGCAGTGCAAAGCATCATGCAAACCAACTAAAGCCAATCTCCCTTTCACTCAAAGCAACCACAAACACTGTACAAAAAACAATGAACCAGAGGAAATCGACAAAAATAATATGGTGGAGCAAGCAGGAAATCTCAGATTCGTACCTTAGAACACACAAGGCTATCCAAGAAGCACAATTACTTGAAAACACAATGTGCACAGCCTCTAGAAAATTCCTCATAAAAGAAAGTGATGCATTATGTGAAAAGCATAGATCCAATGAGAAAAGTGTGTGTGTGACTCTTGGAGTTCGACAAACTCAGGATTCAAATCCTAGTAGTGATCTGATAGCTGGACCTCTGACAAGAGAATCTAAGCACAACTACGGAAAGTCAAATCACTAGGAATCAAGGGGTATTTGGTGAGTAAAGGCGGAGGCTCCCCCTCAATCAATGAATCCTGTATTTTTTTCTTTTTTTTTTTACATTGTTTTCTTTTCTTTCTTTTGCACATCCTTTTTTTTTTCTTTCTTTTGCACATTTTTTTCTTTCTTTTGCACACTCATTGGCGGCTGACACACTCAAGAGTATGGAAACCGAGCCAGAGAAGCATGGATATAATAAGGATGGCCTGGTTGGTGACTCTGAGGTAGCCTTTTCCTCATGCCTGGACTACAAAGAATAGGGGGGAAAGCCGTGGAGATGCAAAAAGATGAAAGATGGTTAAGAGACTCAACATCACCCATGATATGCTAGTATAGGTCAATTCCTCTAGAAACACAAAAGATCAATGACAGAAGTCCATAGAGAAAAAATAATCGCTAAGGCGGAAGACTCCAAAATTTGCTAATCCAAGAGTGTGTACAGAATGAGACATACTAATGAAAGAACACACACTCCAAAATGAGTAACGACCGCAGAAAGCACACACATATTAACATGTAATGGATATTCTTATCAATTCCAATATGCACCAAGGACCACTCAAAAATTTCAAGCTTGCAAAACCATA